TTGCACGGTTTTCGCTTGTCCCCCACGTTCCCACCAAAAAAAATTTTTTTTTTTCTGGAACCCAGATCGGGTTCCTCCAGAGGAACCCATGAGGAACCTGACTCTGGGTTCCTCGTCGTGAGGAACCTGACTCGACGAGGAATCCAGATCGGGTTCCTCACCAGGAACCTAGAAAGGGTTCCTCATGGGTTCCTCGGGAGGAACCCAGCTCGAACCCTCTGGGTTCCTGGTGAGGAACCCAATCTGGGTTCCTCGTCGAACCCAGATCGGGCAGTCGGGGTTCCTGACTCTGGGTTCCTCGTCGTGAGGAACCTAGAGCTCCTGTTCTAAATTTTTTTATTTTTTTATTTTTTTATTTAAATAAGCCACATCATCAAAAAAAAGCATCCACGTTGGATTACTAACGGCACATAGTGGCCCCGTCGATTTTTGAGTGCCACGTAATACATTTTGTAACGGTACCGTGATGACGCGTTAAAATATTGGGTTTTTTACGGGTTTTGAAAAGTTAAAAGTGTGAATAAGGAGAAAAAATTCTGGAAGGTATTGACCGTAAAAAAAAAAATAAATGGAAGGTGCAAATAAGGGTTTTGGCCATTTGAAAAATGAAGAAGTATCACTTGTTGCACACATCATTAAAGGTAATAATCCTCTGTTTCATAATGGTAAATATTTTTTATTTAAAATTTATTTTAAAATAATAATTCTTTTATTTTTTAAAAGAAATAAATATTTTCTTTCTTTCTTTTTAATCTTATTATTTTTACTCAACTCTAATTATTCATTTTATCATAAAAATGTGTCTTTATTTTTTTAAAAAATAAAAAAAAATTATTGTCAAATTCTTAATTCAAATATAAAATAAAATCCGGAAGGGAGGGAGCAAAAAAAAATTAAAATCTTAAAATTTTTCTACTTTTTATTCTTCATGTTCCATATTTTTCTTTGTTCAGAGGGGACACGTGGATCTCCGATAAAGCATGTTGTGGCATTTTCCGTGCAGCAGCACGAATGGACCCACCTAGGTTTTACGTACGGTCCTAAAATGTTGTCAAACACCACAATGGATAATCACAGCTTTCGTATCTTAATCGATCCAACATCACCCAAATATCTGCATCCGCGCGTCACCATCACCACGTATTATTTATGATCATGCCAAGAATAAAGGCATCCCAACATATTATTCCTTTCCTCATATCATCACTATTTTCATTTACATATTTTTGAAAGGCAAAACAATAAATTAAGCCCCTGAACTAACCCCAGAATCGCTATTAAGCCCCCAGACTTTAATTGAAGCATTTAAGCCCCTGAACTCTACAATAAAAGCAATTTAGCCCTTCCTCTCACACCAACTTAACTGCTGTTAATCGCCGTTAACTGTGGTTTGGGGGACTACCTCGTGTGGCGAAATTGGCCATCTCACTCCCACGTGGCAAGGGACTTGAAATTTTATTTCCACTTGGATGAAAAAAAAAATTATTTAGGAATAATTTTTTAATATAATTTTATATGTCATTTAAATAATTATTTTTATTTATAGATTTGTCAA